AATCTGAATGAAAATGATAATTTACTCATTTATTGTGTTTTTTTTTAAAAAAGCTCTTAAATGTCAGTTTAATAAATATATTTTAAGAATAATTCTTGTCAATCTAATAATAAATAATGAAAGAAAAAAAAAATTGCGTTGCCGACACAGCCAGTTTATTGATTTTATATTATTTCAATCCGTAATAGTCTCCCGTGAAAGAGTTAGCCCTAATAGTGTTTTTTTCCTTTCCTTTTCTTTTTAATAGCTTGATGAGAATCTCTCTCGCTCTCATTTAGCTTACCTTATTGGTAAGCCATAACTGGCAGCCTACCTCGTAACAGAGCCTAGTAGCTTGCAAAAGACCACCATTGATGATCAAAAGAAGAAAATAGCCAAAGGCAACATTGGGGTGTGTAAACTCCATTGATGGAGATTAACATAACTTCAATATTTAAGCGATCAATCCTCTCATGTGTAGAGATACTTGCACCAACACAGACCCAACCATGATGATCCAAATTATAGAGAACGGCATCGGCTGTCCCTTCGGTTAGTTGAAAGACCTTCAGCCATAGCATGACAGACATAGCCCAGCTAATAAGCCGCAATCAGGAGCTAGAAGCTAGGATTAAGGAAATCAATCCTCTCGATGACACTTAGCATTAATTATTAGGTTCGACGGGATTCCATTAATTCTCGGAAATTTGTACAAACCAAATTGCATTTTCCTTTTCTTTTTGCAGTGGTACAAAACTTATTTTTTTTATATATATAAATTTTCTATCACTGTTACAATCTGAAATTCATAGCAGATAGAAAAAATTAACTATATTACGGACAACATAAAACTCCATTTCCATTTTGGTAATTAAACGAACTTATTTTTTACGACTGTCAAAGGCACGCAACAAGATGTTCCAACCCACCTCCCTCTCTCAATGTTTCTTCTTCTTCACATCATCATCACTCTCCGGAAGCAGCACGCCTCCTGTACTCCAAACTCTTCTCCCTCTTATAATCATCATCATCATCATCATCTTTGCCCACCACAGTCTCTTTTATCTTCTGTGTAGTTTCGTTCGCTGCACCCCATGCTCCTTCCACCGTCTCTTTCGCCTTCTCTCCCACAGTCTCCACCGTCTCAACCACCTTAACCGCCCCCTCCTTTGCCATATCCCCTGCCGCTCCCGCAGTACCTGCAGCTCTCTCCGTCCCTTCTTTAACCTTTTCAGCAGCAGACTGTGCCATGTCTCTGGCACTTTCCGTTGTCTCATGTGCACGCCCTTTCGCCTTCTCTTTCATCTCCTCTGCACTCCCTTCTGCCTTCTCTTTCATTTCCATGGAGCTTTCTTTCGCCTTCTCCGCTCGCTCTTTGGTTTTGTCAAAGGTTTCACTTGCGGTTTCTTTCGCTCTCTTAGCGTAATCTGCCGCTCGGTCTCTATCATCTTCCGCTGCATGCCGTCCCTGAAAGACAATTAAAATTTCAACAAGAAACTTTAAGCTCTAAAGATTCGATAGATGCCCATATAAATTTTGTTTAATTAATTTATTGAAAGAATTTTTTACCTCGTTATATTTGGAGGCAGAGGTTGTGAAGCAGACCCGTGAGACTTTGGACGAGGAATTGGGGACGAGAGAAGGGGGCTGGGGGAAGAAGGCTCTTGCGAGATTGAGCATAGCGTTTCTGGTAATGCTAATGGCTGCCACTGTTGTTTTGTGTGTTTTTTTGGCTTGTGATGATCCTTTGGGTTGCCTCAGTGCAGGTTATATGGTGCCAAGAAGAGAAGGTGGCTGAGTTCGTTTGAAAGACACGATGGGGTTAGTTCATGCCACGTGTAGGATATGTTATTTCACCTCGTCGGTAGATCATGGATGGTTTACCAGGCAACACATGTTCCCTTGAGAGGGTTTTTTTTTTTTTTTAAATGAAAATGATCGCAGATATGTATTTCATCGTTATCAAATACAAAGTAAATTGGAAAGTCCACTAGATAAATCGTTGGCTTGGAGTCTTTGTTGGATTGCTGGTCTATAAATATCAAATAGAATCCTGGTATGCAATTATTGAAAGCTCTGTTGGGAACTAAAGACACAATTATTTAAACATTTTGAGTGTTTATTGATTAATTCAAACTATTAATACAC